GTGACTTAATACTGTTTCTAGCCCAGTTTGTTTGGTACTTGTGGAACTAAGTAACTAAATAACTAAGGCACTACTGCAGTTTTGGGATAGAATAATTTTCTTACTTTTGGAAAAATAAGCAGTTTTTAATACACTCTATTATTTAAAATTTGTTTATCTCATTCCTCCTATTCAAGTAGTAGAAAATGAGGGTCCTGAACATGGTTGGCTTCGTTGAGGTGCAATGTGAGCAAACCCTTAAGAGGGTTAAGTTATATTGTAACCTAAAAGAGGAAAGGTTTACTTTGGCTCACAGTTTGTAAAGATTGTAATCCATAGTTAGCTGGGTCTATGGCAGGGTGCATAGCAGAGAAAAAAGAGCTCATGGCAAGGCAAACAGATCAAGGGGGAGGAAGAGAGAGTGTTTCAGTCCACAACTCCACTGACGCACTTTTTCCAACCAGGCTTCACCTCCAGTGTCATTTATAGCTATAAACTCAACAGCAGATTCACTAGGCCCCCACAATCCAGTCACTTCCCAGAAGCTCTACCTACGAGCACATGAGTCTTTTTTTTTTTTTAAGAACAAGACAGAACAAAACCAGTAAAGACAGTGCAGTGGAATTGATACAGAACTTCACAGCAGGATACGGGGATAACAGTAATAGTTTCTGTAGTATATGTTGTTATGTTCACAATAGTTGTCCAATCAATTAGGTATAGCGAAATCAAACCAAAATACAACATTAAAACTAATCGAAAGAGAATATTGAATAGAGCAAAACAATCATAGCAGAACAGTGAAAAACAACATTTGCCTTCAAAGAGAAGATAGAAGGAAATCCTCGCTATTTGCTGTATTGCATACAGTCATCTTCTCAAGAGATGCTCAGACCTCTGCCCCGAGTTGTAAACAGGGTGGCAGGGTACAGGAGCTGCTGACTGGTTCTCCTGGCTTGTGGCGGAGCACTTACCACGAGGGCTGGTGAATTGCTTTCTTGTTCAGATGTCTAAGTTCTACCATAGCTGGATCTCGGGAGCCACTGACTGGTTCAACCACATGAGTCTTTATGGGGAATATGTAGATATAAACTATAACAAAGCCCAAATACTAAGCTATGTCTCTATCTTGAAATTCTTAACTTTTGAGCTAGTGGCTCTGTGTTACTATTTATTATTGTCTATATTTTGCAGTGCTGAGGATTGACTCCAGGGACTCATGCATAGTAGACTAGTAGTGCTCTACCACTGAGCTGCATCCCCAGCCCCTAAAATTTTTCTGTGGTGAAAAATATTTACATTTGAAATTAGCCAGTTGGGCTTAATAGAGAGTATTTATTCATTTACGTAGTTATTAGAGATGGAACTCAGGGGCTCTCAAATTATAGAAGAGTGCTCTATAACCCAGCTGTACTGTATCCTCAGTTCTGAAATTCATTCAGATGATTCAGTTTGATTGATAACTTATGAAACATAAAGAGTGTGGAGCCAGCAGAAGATATACCACCTCTTTTCCCCATGGTGGTAAAAAGTCCTCACTGTTTTTTTTTTTTTTTTTTTGGTACCGGGGATTGAGCTCATGACCTTGCACTTGCCAGTCAGACACTTACACCACTGAGCTAAATCCCTGGTCGTCACATTTTTATTTTGCACTGGGACCCTGCAAGTTATGCAAATAATGTAGTCAGATTTGATTATAAATATATAGTCTACTTGTAAAAAATGTAATGCCATGGAAAATGGCCAAAAGCTGAGAGCAGAGGAATATAGATAATTAACATAACACATTTTTTGTCATAAAAGGCAATAACCACAAGTGTGTCAAACCCACATTTATTGTTTAGAATATTCTTATTTTAATTTTATGAGTTTTATTATATTGAACAATGAATTCTTAGCAGGAAAAAAAATAAAAAAATTAGATATTACATTTAAAATATTCACTGTTTATTAAAAACAAAATTTTCAACATCGACTGATTTTTCGTGTACAAAGTCTAAAAAAGAACCACAAAAATAAATTCCTGTGTCTTGTTTTGCTTTGATTTGTTTGCTTGAGACAGGATTTCGCTATGTAATTCAGGCTGGCTTTGAACTTGTGGTGATCCTCCTGTCTCAGCCTCCCACGTGCTGGGATTATAGGCATGTGTTACCATGCCTGGCAAAATCCTTAGTATGTATTGTGCATTTAGAATAAACATCATTTTCATATCAGCTGTGTATTTGCTTCAAAACCTAAAAGATAACATCAGAAATAAATTCCTATATGAACTACAATGAAAATACCAGTAGCACTTCACAAATATCTTTACTTCAATTATCACACCTAAACAAGAAAATAAAATGTCAATAAAATAAAACATCAAATGTGTAATGAGTGCACAGAATAGACATCATTTTAATATCAGCTATGTACTTGCATACAAACCTGAGATAACATCAGATATAAAAACCTGTGTAAGCTACAATATAAACACAAAAGTCTACCACAGAAATAATCTTTGCTTCAACTGTTACATCCCAGGCAGTTTTCACATATGACAACTGCATGTTCCATGCCCATGTCTTGCTTATACCTACAGCACATAAACTTAGCTTTCTTTCTTATGTGTAGGCCATTCTTGTCAGTTCTGTTTTGTCAGGAGTTTCCTACTATGTTGTACAATGTACACTTAGTAGGAGAATATTAATAAAGTAAAATATCAGATGTGTAATGAGTGCTTAGAACAGACATCATCTTCACATCAGCTGTTTACTTACAAAAGCTAAGAGATAACATCAGAAATAAAAATTACGTGATCTACAATGAAAACACTGACAGAACTCTGTAACAAAAATCATCTTTGCTTCAATCCTCACATCCAGGGAAGTCTTCACACATATAAATTGCATATTCTATACACAAGTAGCACTTACAGTGATAGCATCTATGTTTTGTTTTCCTGTCCTTTCTTATAGGGCACAGTTGATAGTCTTTTTTGTTTTCCTGATGTAGTAGGTCTTGGGGGTGCTACACGTACTTATTCCCCTGTGAGCTCACCAATGTGGTCGAATTTTTTTTGTGTAGTTTCATGGGCAGGAAACATTTTGTTTTTCTTCCTATAAATGATCTCTTACAATTTCTAGTCCCAGTGCACCAAGAAAATTTCTCTGTGATATATATATATATATATTTTTTTTATAAACAATCAAACTATGCCACACATTTTGAGGGGTATATATATATATATATATATATATATATATATATTTTTTTTTTTTTTTTTGGTCTTTTTGAGACAGGGTCTCTATGCAGTTCAGGCTGGCCTTGAACTCACTTTTTAGCCCAGGCTGGTCTCGAACTCGCAACAATCCTCCTGCCTCAGCCTCCCTAGTGCTGGGATTACAGATGTGAGCCACCACACCCAGCGGGGGGGGTATATTTTTGAGACAGGGTCTTGCTGTGCAGTTCAGGCTGGCCCTGAGCTCACTTTGTAGCCCAGGCAGGTGTAGAACTTGTAATGATCCACTTACCACAGCTTCATGAGTGCTGGCATTACAGCATACGCCACCATGCCTGGCTCTATGCCACACATGTTTAGAATCAAGTAAAATGCAACCATTGGCCAATGCTTTGTGTTTCAAGTGACATCATAGTTGCTGCATAACTTAACAACATCTACTCTGCCTTTGGTTTCCTTGTAGAAAGTTTCCATCTCGTGCTTCTGTTTGTCAAGGTTTCCCTATCAGCATTTCCATCATGGTGCAATGGTTTGTTTTTCTTTGCTGTATATGAGGCTAGTGTAAATCTTTCTGCAGTCCAAAGGTGTGCTATACAATTCTCTGTTTTGAAATGGCAGTGTTTCATTTGGAATTTCTGCTTTGTTCCTACGTACAGTTCTTGTGCTGGTCAACTTGTGCCCTGTTAGCAAATGCAGCATCAGTTGAAAACTGGTAAACCAACTGTCAAATGCCACATTCTGATTAGTATGGGAGATGGGAGCAACAAATCTGTTCACAACATCATTTGGTTTATTACTATACAAATAAGGACTTGATGGCTGAGTTCCAGGATTAATTTCTAAATTGAAAGTAGAAATCTTTGTGTTCTGAAGGCATAGATTTTTATGCCTTATTTTGACCCATTGCGTTTCTATAAGTCTTTTATATTACTGTGATTACCATGAGAAATCCCTGCTAAGTACAGCAGACCTCTGAGTATTTTCAGTTTACTAGTGAAGTATCATAATAAATACAGTTTTAAATATGGCTATTGCTATATATAGAACATTTCACATGCATTTCAGCCTTTGTGTATTGCATACCATGTTGTAGCATTTTGTGTGTTATAATTTCCAACATTAAATGGCAATGCTGGCATTCTGTCCAATATTTTTTACTGCTTCCAGGACCACCGCGACCTCCCCCCACAATCCATCACACCATTCTTCTGTTACAAAAACATGTATTTTACTACAAATGGGTCATCTGCGTTATCCATGCATGAGTAATCTGATGATTCACTTTCAACCTCCTCCAAAACTTGCAAGTCTGGTTTTTCATGTGCCATTGTACTGAATTGGGCTACTTGAAAAAATCAAAAGAAAACTTAAAAAAAATAATCCTGGAGTGGTGTGGGTGTATGTAAATGTGGTGCTCTGTGAAGCTCAAGTAAACATACCCAAGACTTGTTAGAGCATCACGTGGGTGTAAGTCCTGGTTTGACACTTTTGTACAAGTTTACACACCTTGTCTTTCATAATACTGAATGGGTAAATACAAAAATTGTTTCCTGTATCTCTCAGGCAAAGGTACTGAGGCACAAAACTGGCTACTATCACACTAAAGTAAAAATTTACAATAGAAAAGTAAAGGATATGTTTGTGGAACCCAGTGTTATGCTCTGGAATAAACATACTGAAAGATCTTTAACCTCATTAAATTTTCAATCTATTCTAATATGTAGAAAGTTATAAATACCACGTAATTAAGTTTTAATTTTGCCACTGAGATTAATTTTTTTATCTTTAATTTTCTTTGTAGTGTGTCTTCTAATCTGAAAAAGTCTTCCATGAAGACCTCACTTTTAAAAAATTAGTAAGATCATTTGCTTCTAAAAGACTGAAATGGGAGCTATCATTTTGAGGTAAGTATTCAATTTTATATTTTTAATTTTTAATATTTTTTCAGAAGTTAATATAGAAGGTAAATATAAGTGTTGGTTAGATTCTAAATATTTAGTTAACCTCTGAGGTGGGTAGTGGAAGTGGGGAATTGTAATCCTTGTTTTAAGGTAGTTTTATGTTTAAGGTTATTTGACATAGAATTAAAAAAGCTTAATAAAGAAAAGTTACTAATGGTGAGTAGTATTGAAGTCTTTTTAGAGAGGTTTATTGGAAACTGAAGAACCTTGGGTTTGGTAGTTAGGAAGTCACTAATGGCTCCACAGGGCCATTCCAAGAGGATATTTATTGGTGAATATCTTGTAGTGAAGGGTGAAGAGGAGGTGATAAAGTCTGAATATTTTTGAGACGGTATCTCATTATGTAGTTTAGACTGGATTCAAATTAGCAGTGAACCTCCTGTCTCACCCCCAAATACTGGCATTAGAGGTGTATGTCATCATACCTGCCACCACAGTTTTTAGACAAAAAGGAATGACCCATTAAAGTAGTTTAAATATTTTAAAAAGTGATTAATATCTTACACTGAGAGAGAAGTTTGAAATCAAGATATGATTAAAGGACTTAACGCTTACAAATGAATAGCAAATTTTCTGAGAAATCAAATTGAAGGAGAGGGTAAATGGTGGAAAATTTTAGGGAAAGAGGAAGAAAACTGTAGAATATCTTATTTTTCTATTTTTGGAGGCACTGGAGATCTAACCCAGGGCTTTGCACCTATTGGGAAAGTGCTATTCTGCTGAGTTACAGTGTGGCCTCTTTATTTTGCCTTGTAAATAAGTTAGAGACTAAGATAATATATCACATATAATTAATTAAATTGTGGATTGGGGTCAAGTGAGAAGAAAACCATTTGGTATGTTTTTTTTTTCCTGGTGCTGGGAATTGAACTTAGGACTTTACGCTTACTCAGCAGGCGCTGTGCCACTGAGCTACATTCCTGGCAAGAAGACATTTGGTAAAAACATCGTAGGCTAATTACTAAGCCCAATAAATATCAAACATCTGTATTGTGCCAGGTATTCTTAGTATATAGAATCAGTGTTCTCATGGAGCTAATTATTGAAATGAACAAAGAAAATGGCAACGTGTAATTGATATGAAGAAGAAATACATAGAATAGTTGGGGGCTGGGGATTTAGCTCAGTGGTGTGAGTGCCTGGCTCACAAGTGCTAGGTCATGAGTTTGATCCCCAGTAACAAAAAAACTTTTCCACACTCCAGAATAGTTGGTAGGGCATGACTGCTTGTATCAGGAGGTGGCGTTAAAGTAAGATGTAAAAGATAATCTAGCCACTGAAAATCAAGCTAAGAAAAAACTCAAGGTAGAAATGAACTGGAGATGTTTGAGGCAAGGTAGACATTCCAGAATATTCTCAACTGGGTGGTAAGGACCATAGTATGATAAGGCTGAAGAGATAAGCAAGGTGAAGTCCCTGTAGCCATTGTAAGAAATTTAGCCTCAAAGAAATAGCCTTACTACACCTTGGGAAGTGTATTAAGTTCCTTTTTCATTGCTGAGACACAAAACCTGATACTCACAAGTTAAAGGAGGAAAAGTCTATTGTGGTTCACAGTTTGAGGTTGGTACGGCTTGGGGAGGAAGTCCATGGGGTGACAGGCAGAAAGCAACAAAACAGTGAGGCTTCTTTTCCCTTTTATCTCATCTAGGTTACATGGCTACTGATGGTGCCACCCACGCTAAGGGTGGGCCTTCCCATTATCCACACTCAGAACTATGCTAAATCAATGAGGACTAATTCAGTTGTCACACGCTCGTAATCCATAGTCACATACCCTAGATCCAGCCGCCTCTGAAAAGCCCCCTATATTAGTGCATGAGGTTAGATATAAGCTGTGACAGGAAGTTTTAAGAATAAAAGTATCACAATGTGATATAATATTCATTTTCAGTTCTAGAAATTAAATTCTAGGGTGTTCTATAATTAACCTACAACCATAGCCCCCTTTTTGAGACAGAATCTTCCTAAGTTGCCTGAGCTGGGCTTGAATTTGTGTTCCTCCTGCCATAGCCTCCCCAGTGCTGAGATTACAGGCACAGGTCACCTTGTCTAAATTGATTAACATGTTAAAAGTTTCCTCTGGCTGGGCTGGGGATATAGTTCAGTGGCACAGCACTGGCCTGCCAAGCGTGAGATCCTGAGTTTGATTCCCGGTACACACACACACACACACACACACACATTCTTCTCACTGCTTTATTGAAGAGAGATTGCAAGTGCTGAGAGGAAGCAGAAGCAGGAAATTAAGAGGCTGTTGTAATTGAGTAGCCCAAAGATGAAGGTAAAGAAACAGTATAATACAGGATAGAAGGATTTCTAAGTACCAGTAAAGGCTCAGTTCAAGACCAACTAGTGTGACATAGCAGGCAGAGTGACTCTGTAGCTAGCATAAACCTTTAAGGTGGAAATGAGAAATTTGACATTGGTATTTTTTTTTTTTTTTTGGCTTTTTCATTTTTTCACCGGTACCAGGGATGGAACTCACAACTGCCTGCTTTCGAGGCAGGTGCTTATGCTGCTGAGCTAAATCCCTAGCCCGACATTGGTAGTTGAAGTAACTAGGATTCAAGGTTGATGAGGGGGTTGGATTGGCTCAATATATATTGAATGTCTACTAATATACTAAGAAGTGTGCTAGCTCCTGGCCTTATAACAGTGAACAAAAATGGTCTTTTTCTCATGGAGTTGATATTATAATAAGAGTAGACAATAAATAACACATTGTATGGTGATGAGTACTGTTAAGAAAATTACATTGGGGAAAGGTGGACATTCATGGAGGAGATGTGGGCTTACTGCCTTCTAAAGTACAGCTAGTGAAGCCCTCTCTGACAGGTAGCATAGATCTGACAGCTCTAAAGTAGTAGAGCAAGCCATATTGGCTTTTGGATAGCATGGTGAGAGCATTTTAGGCTGAAGGAACTAAAATGCAGATTTTGAGGCTGAAGTGTTCTATCACAAGAGGACTGGTGTAGCTGGACTACAATAAGCGAGAGAGGAGGCAGTAAAAGCCGACATCACCATAGTGAAAGACAGCAACATAGTGAAAGCGCTAGAGGCTCAAGCCAAGTTGTAAGCCAGACTTCAGGCCTGCAAGTATTTTTGAATACTACACTGACATAGAAAGAGTAAAGTTGAGTTGAACACAGAAGGCCTTTATTGCAGACAAACCAGTTTATTTGGATTTTAAATATTTGTTTTTTTAAATTATAGAAGAATGTACATAATATAAATCAGTGTTTATTTATTGCATTACTGGAGATTGAACCCAAGCCTCTTACACTGAGCTGCATCTCCAGCCTTTTGGGTTTTTTTTTTTTTTTTTTTTTTTTGTCTTTTTCCTTTTTATTGGTACCAGAGATTGAACTCACGACCACCTGCTTGCAAGGCAGGTGCTTATGCTGCTGAGCTAAATCCCCAGCCCCGCCTTTTTGTGTTTTTTATTTTTAAAAAACTTTTTTGAGATAAGGTCTTTCTGTCTCAAAAGTTAAGGCTGGTCTTGAATCACTATGTAACCCAGGCTGGATTTATTCTTTTTTTTTTTTAATCGGTACCAGGGATCAAACTCACAACCACACGCTTGCAGGTGCTCACGCCACTGAGCTAAATCCCCAGCTCCTGGACTCATTCTTGCAGTGATCCTCTTGCCTCAGCCTCCCAGGTGCTGAGATTACAGGTGTGTGTGACCATACATGGCTTTCTTTTCTTTTTTGAGACAGGATCTCACCAAGACACTTAAATTGACTGGACTAGGTTTGAACTTCTGATCTTTCTTAGGCTCCAAGAGTGCTGAGATTACAGGTGTATGCCACCATTCTGGTTATCTTAAATAGTTGTGATTGTATAGTTCAGTGGTCTTAGGTATAGTCACAGAGGTGTGCAGTCATCGCCACCATCTATTTCTTTTATCATCCCAAACTGAAACATATCCTATTTTAAATAATATTTTATGAGGATGTGGTAATGCATGCCTGTAATCCTAGTACTCAGGAGGCTGAGGTAGGAGGATTGTTGCAAGTTTGAGTCCAGCCTACAAAGTGAACTACATAGCAAGACTCGGTCTCAAAAAAAAGACATTGTTAATCCAGTGATTGCTTTGCATGAGTAAGGCCCTGTGTTCAGTTCTGAACACCAAAACAAAGCAAAACACTTTTCATGAGCCTGACATGGTGGTGCATGCCTATAAGCAATCCTATCACTGGGGAGGCTGAAGCATGAGGATCACATTTGAGTTCAAGGCCAGCCTGAACTGCATAGCTTATTTCAAAAACCAAAAGCAAACCAAAAAACCCCAAAATATACTTCTCATTGCCTCTTCTCTATATTTTCTGGTAACCATTAATCTCTGTCTGTGAATTTTGGCTACTTATAGGAACCCTGTAAAGTGGAATCATACAATATTTGTTTTTTTTTTCCAGTGTTTTTCTCTTGTGTTATTTTTCAGGTTTTGTTTATATTGTAGCACGTATTAGAATTTCATTCTTTTTAAGACTGAACATAGGCAGGTGTGGTGGCATATGCCTGTAATCCCAGCATGGGAGATGAAGGCAGTAGGATTGCTGCTAATTTGAGGCCAGTGTTGGCTATATACTGTGTGAATTCAAGACCATCCTGAAGTGTATACTGAGACTTTGTCTCAGATATAAGACAACTAAAGTATCCTATATGAAGAAAGCAGGTCAGGGTCCAAGCATATAAACTAGTAGGGACAGCATACAAACTCAGCCAGTCTGACTTAGTCACTCTGGCCACCTCCCCCACTCCAAGTCTCTGTCTCAAAAAAAAAAAAAAAAAAAAAAAGGCTAAATAATTTTATCTATGTACAATGTTTTGTTTATATGTTTACTTCTGTTATGTGTGTTTGTGTGTGTAGCGGGGTACTGGGGATTGATAGGGTTTTGCAATAAGCCACGCCTTTCAGTTCTCTTTTGTGTGATAGC